GTACACAACCCCATAGAAGCAAACTGTGTGGCCATGAAGGCAAATGGAATATCGTTTTCATTAACGATGAGCAATAAAAAAAAAAGGCCGAAGCCCAATTCAAAGGCCCATTTAAGTCCAGAATCTCTCTCTCTCTCTCTCTCTCTCTCTCTCTCTCTCTCCCTCCAATTCGATTAATTAGACCTATGAATAAATCGAATATTTATTTCAATCAAATTCAAACTTGACTCGTTTAATCCAACAACATTGACATGTTAATGTTTAAATGACTTGAACGGATTCATCCTTCTCATTGACAAATTTAGTGTTGGATAAATAAGGATACCATCAATTATTGGTCAACAATTATAGATAAAATTAAATGTAAACAAAAAAACAAAGCAAAATTACATATAGATTTTGCAATTACCAATATATTTGAATATTAAGGTTACTGGTTAGCCTAATGACCACCGTCTGTTATTAGATCTTAAAGTTGTAGGTTCGAACCTCGTCATCCTCCTTCCTCTAATAATATTCGATCGACTAATAACCAAAAAAAATAAAAGTTCAAATAATGTTTATTCATTCTTTTGGGTATATTTTTATTCTTGTTTATGTGGATGCTTTAATTGATTGAGACTTGTTTATTTTTTGGATAGTAAATGTGGTAACATCCTTAATTACATCCTCTAAATTAAAGTCTTATCAATTATGCAAACACAAGAAATTGGTCACCATAGAATTGGATTTAGATTGACTTCTAGTACTCTTCCATTAGTTGAAAAAAAAGGCAAAACATCAAGGAAAAGATTCAACTAGCCATATTTTATGTGTTTTTTTTTGGGAAGCAAGCCAAAATTCGTTATAAATAAAACAACAATGCTCATGGGTGCAATTTGGAAGGATTCATCTGAACTTACCCAAATATATTTAGTGTATAGACAAAAAATTCTAGTACCTGATGTGAATTTTGGAAAAAAATTCAAATCAAATTTAGATTCGGGCTGAGTAGAGCTTAAGATTTTGGGGACCTGTGTTGAATGCATTAATTCGAATTTAACCCCAAATAAATCCAAATGTTGAGACCTTGTTGGGCAAACTAAGAATCGAACATGAATTTTATTCAAAGAATTGAACCCAAATTTTAGACCGATTTTNCCAAATAAATCCAAATGTTGAGACCTTGTTGGGCAAACTAAGAATCGAACATGAATTTTATTCAAAGAATTGAACCCAAATTTTAGACCGATTGATTTGTGTAATCAGAGTTCAAAATTGTAAGCATATTTAGGGCAAACTTGGGTTAAATTTTTTTATATTTAGGATTAATCCCTCCTAACCTCAAATGCCAAAGCTATTACATGCACTTAAAGATGTTTGGTTTTCTTTTATCCTGGGCCTTGATGTTTTTTTGCCTTAGCTGCTTAACCTAAAGTGGGAATAATCAATTCCAAAGTGGTTTTAACAGAAAGAGCCGAATAGGTGATTATTAATGTGCATTAGAGGTAGTGGTTCCCACATCGCAAATTCTCATCCATCTGGTCCACATTCATGATGCATGAAATTAAATTCGGTAGACGTGTGTTCAACCATTTGATTGGCCACGCATCGCATCTAATGAGAATAAACACCTGAGCATAGACCTCTGTGATCCTCCTTTATTCAAAAATGCTGGTATTACACGTCTGTGTTAAATTAAGTACACAGCTTATGTAATACTATATCTGTGTCTGAAGACATAGAGTAATAGAAAATTGTAAACAATAAATATATTTCTATTCATATTCAAAATCAAATCATAAGCGTAGAGAAAAGATAAAAAAATTGAAGCATCAATTTGTAATGGGGTTGAAAGATGGTGGGCAGCAGTGGTGGTAGAAGATGGTGATGGTTATACTGGGTGGTAATGATCGTAGTGGTGGTGGTGATGGTGATGGCAGTGGAGGTGGGGGCGGTGATGGTGGTGACAGCAGTGGCGGGAGTGGCGGCGGCTACGACAGTGGCAATGGTGGTGGTGGGGGTGGTGGAGGTAGTGGTGAGGCAGTTTCAAATATTATTATTTTTTTAAAGTGTTTATGAAAAAGTATTTTTAAAAAGTCACTCCAAATACACCTTTAGGGTCTATTTTTTCTATTAAATTTAAAGTGTTAATATTAACTGTTATATTAACTTTAAAATAAAATTTAAAATAATTTCAACCGTAAATAGTAAAAATTATTTTATTTTCTTTTAATATTTGAATTGTAAGCTACTTTATTATATAGATATAAATCCTAAAGTAGATAAATTTATGTATTTTGACTTGAAAATCTTCATCCACGGGCGAAGTATATCAACAAGATTTACCATTGGAAAGCTTAATGNAATGCTGGTATTACACGTCTGTGTTAAATTAAGTACACAGCTTATGTAATACTATATATATATATATATACTAGTTATTGTCTGTGTCTGAAGACACAGAGTAATAGAAAATTGTAAACAATAAATTTATTTCTATTCATATTCAAAATCAAATCATAAGCGTAGAGAAAAGATAAAAAAATTGAAGCATCGATTTGTAATGGGGTTGAAAGATAGTGGGCAGCAGTGGTGGTAGAAGATGGTGATGGTTATACTGGGTGGTAATGAGTGGTAGAAGATGGTGATGGTTATACTGGGTGGTAATGATCGTAGTGGTGGTGACGATGGTGATGGCAGTGGAGGTGGGGGCGGTGATGGTGGTGACAGCAGTGGCGGCAGCTACGACAGTGGCAATGGTGGTGGTGGGGGTGGTGGTAGTAGAGGTAGTGATGAGACAGTTTCAAATATTATTTTTTTTTTAAAGTGTTTATGAAAAAGTATTTTTAAAAAGTCATTCCAAATACACCTTTAGGGCCTATTTTTTCTATTAAATTTAGAGTGTTAATATTAACTATTATATTAACTTTAAAATAAAATTTAAAATGATTTCAACTGTAAATAGTAAAAGTTATTTTATTTATCTTTTAAGATTTGAATTGTAAGCTACTTTATTATATAGATATAAATCCTAAAGTACATAAATTTATGTATTTTGACTTGAAAATCTTCATCCACGGGCGAAGTATATCAACAAGATTTACCATTGGAAAGCTTAATGATAGGTAAATAAAGTTGTCTCGAGTCTTGACTCTCGACTTTAAACCTTTTATAGAATTCAAAAACCCTTAATTCCAAATGGAATTATGTTTTTAAAATTTAAAAGTAATACGCTTTCAAAGCACCATCAATCTTCTAGGTCAAATTCTATGAATGAACATTTTCCCCCATGCTGTCACTAGACCCCAAGAAATGTCATCATGACTATGGAATGGGACCATTATGTGAACTAAGGCATAATAAATTTTTGATATAAATTCGATAAATTTTAGAAAATATTATACAATTCAAATGAAAATTAAATGTATGTCATTGTTTGGACGAGTTTTGGATGAGAGGATCCTATTAAAAAAATTGATGTAATCTTATGGGACATCTCTAGATTGGGCCTGATCAACAACACGTGTCCTCGGCCTCAAGGCCCCCTGTTCTGACTGATGCTCCTTGGCTCCAAGGAGTGGTCCCACGACTCTGACTGGGCGAGCCAAATGCCCTCGGTCTCAAGGGTACTCATATCCCGCCATCGTCATAGGCCTTCGACTTCTATGGAGACTAGTGACTGAAACAGCCTAAAGCTAGACCAAGAATCATTGTGACACTTTACACAATGGAGTCAAAATGACAGGGTGAATTGGACACTCAACCAAGGGAGAATCAGACGTGTGACATAAAGTACAGGATAAAGGGTAAAAAGACATAATTACCCATGTTGATATGCGGCTATTCCAGACAAACATTTAATGAATTCCCAAATGATATGACATCCAGAGTGGCTTGAGAAACCGAGGATATGGAGGATTAAATGCCTTAGGCTCCTAACATTTAAAGTCTTTACATCGAAGAAAGAGCATTAACTGCTCGAGAGTCCGAGCAATTAATACTGGGACATTCCCCTTGCAAAGTAAAGGTATACTGTCCCATCTCTGAAGGCTACCTATTGTCTAGACTACCGGCAATGATGAGTCTTTGAAGGTATAAATAGTCCTTAAAAACACATTACAATGGTACACAAAATCACATCTCAAGAGCCATAAGAGTGTTTTTTTCTTCCCCTCTCTCAAAGAATTGATTTGATCGTCGGAGGGAATACAACGAAAAATATTCCGACGCCCTTTTAGCTCGTTTCCTTGTGTGTCAGGACCATCTTGCAACCCATCGGAATCGGTTAAGCATCCTCTGGAACAATTCATCACCACTCCTTAGGCCCCCTATGGCCTTTTCAACTTATTCCTTGTTGTCAAATCCATCACCACGACAAATCGGAGTTCATCACGAGAGAGAGCTGTTCGTGATTCTTCTATTGTGTGAAAATTAGCACGCACATAATCCACTCATAAGAAATTATATGAATTTTAAATTCAGTAATGCTACTCTGACTAAATTTTGGGACCAAATTTAGATCTCAAATGACATAACAGCTGATTTGGGGTTCTTTATTTGATGTCATATCATTTGGGTCCCAATAAAAACTTTAAATAATATATTGTCATATCATTTGGACTTTAAATTTAGTTAGCATAGCATTACTCTTTAAATTTTATATGAGAATGAGATGGGATACGAGTGGAATACAACGCCATTGAAAATTGGGAGAATTTGCATGATCTTTTTGCTATTACCATAACGAGGATTGCTTAATGATGTACGTTTTGGTTTTAGAAAGATAAAGCTATGTTAGGGTTTTTATGCGGTGCAAGTGCAACCACATTGAATGCCACGCGGTTTTAGAGAGGCACAAGAGGCATACACAGCTGACTTTAGCTAACCCACGGAGTAAATGCTCTTGCTGTCACCTTTTGACTCTTTGGGTACCATTTTGCATCTTTTAGGTCAGCGTCTCCTCTCATCTTAGAGGTCCTTTTTCTTTCTATATATGCAGATCAAACAACCTTAGCCATAGAAGACCCTTGTCTCAGCTTTTTCTAAGAAGAGAGAGAGAGAGAAAAGAGAAGAAAAGCAAGCAAAGCTATAGAGAATTAGAGGAACATACACTTGGGTACAGATGAATTAAGGGGAGGACTAGAGGAGAGAGAAACAAGGGGATATGGGTCGACCGCCCTGCTGTGATAAATTAGGAGTGAAGAAAGGGCCATGGACTCCTGAAGAAGATATAATGTTAGTCTCATATGTTCAAGAACATGGTCCTGGGAATTGGAGAGCTGTTCCTACCAATACAGGTCATACATCTCTCTTGTGTGGTTTGTAATTCAACATTTATAGTTTTCATGATATGGGTTTTTCTAGTTTGCTTTGTTATTGATTTTTTATGTTTCTGCAAAAATGCATGAGAGTGAGAGGCTTGATTTACAGTCCAAACGACCACTTAAGTTGCCTTGTCTTTGTGGCTTTTCAGGGTTGCGTAGATGCAGTAAGAGTTGCAGGCTTAGATGGACTAATTATCTCAGGCCGGGGATTAAAAGGGGTAACTTCACAGATCATGAAGAGAAAATGATAATCCAGCTTCAAGCCCTTCTGGGAAACAAGTACTCTCTCTCTCTCTCTCTCTCTCTCTCACACACACACACACATACACAGATGTGCTATGATCGAAGAATTCATGTTTTGTAGGATAAAAAAAGCATTGAAAATTTCTTGAATCATATGATCCCAAAATGATATCGTGCATGTTTGTCTGTGGTTTCTCTCACAAATGATCGGTTCAGTTGCTAATGCAGAAATATTTAAGTGTTTTTATTTTAAAGTGTTGTGGTTGTTTGAAAGGTTTTGTCTGGTTCCTAATGCATTTATGAAATATTGATCTGCGCAGATGGGCTGCAATAGCTTCTTACCTACCGGAGAGAACAGACAATGACATTAAAAACTATTGGAATACCCACTTGAAGAGGAAGCTCAGGAAGCTTCAAACAGGTTCTGATGGTCACTCTACAGAAGGATTTTCATCTTCACACTCAATCTCCAGAGGTCAGTGGGAGAGGAGGCTTCAAACTGATATTCACATGGCCAAACAAGCCCTAAATGATGCTCTGACACTAGAGAAACCAAGTCTTGTAACTGAATTGAAGCCATCTAATGGTTTTTATTCTTACACTAAACCAAACCAACCATGTTCTTCCTATGCATCAAGCACTGAGAACATTGCTAGATTGCTCAAAGGATGGATTAAACCTAAGGCTGAGCAAATAACATCTTCAAGTGAAGGGACACCAAGTGTTGAAAGCAAAAGTACTGGGATTGATTTATCTGAGGCATTTGAATCACTCTTTGGTTTTGAGTCTTTTGACTCATCAAATTCTGATTTGTCTCAGTCTACTTCTCCTGAGGCTAGTCTCTTCCAGGATGAGAGCAAACCAGATCACAGTGCCCTAGGCCCATTTTCAATGCTTGAGGATTGGTTGCTTGATGAGAGTGCAGTTCATGGAAAAGAAGATTTAAATGACTTCTCATTTGATGATACTACAAGTTTGTTTTAGAGGGATTATTATTGTTATTGAGCTTTTCTGATTGGTTCATCTTTTGTATCACTTTTGTTCCAGGCCTTGACATAACTGTTTTTCTGTTCCATGGCCTGATAGGAATTAATTTGTGGTCTCTTTATTGCTTAAACAGTGTAAATCACATTGTTAGGCTAATTATGAAGTAAATGAGAATAAATTCATGCTCTCATCTCCTTATTTTCCTTTCTTTTTGTCAAGTGTATAGTGACTTGATGACCAGAATTATGGTTCATGTGTTAGATTCGACACTATACCTCTATTTTTTCCTCTTAAACCAACCTAACATGTAAAAAAGCTTGTATTTTAATTATTTTATTTTATTATTTCATCATCAATATCTCAAATTACGAAGGCTTATATTTATTTTTTTGTATAGTACGAAAAATTAGTTTTTGTCATAATTATTTGAGCTTTATTCTTGCTATTATTTATTTCTTTTCAGAAATCTGAAATCCCATGTTTGAAACCTGCTGTCCATAAAAACTTCTCAGAATCGTTTCGATTTGTGTGTAAAATGGGTGAGGATTAATTTTGACTTTCGAGAGAGCACCTACTCGTTTGGTACGATGAAAAAAAATGAAAGAATAATTATTTTTACACATATTAAATTAAATTTTCTTGAGTAGTATAAATCGTAAATCTAACAAATACTGCATATACATGATTTGGAGGCATTTGCAAATATCTGAGATTTAATTGTAACTAATACAGAAAACGATCATTTCCCTCTCTAAAGATAATGTGCATGACCTTCACTTCCCTAAAAAATCTGTTATTTTGTACATCTTTTGTTACGATAGACAATAGCCTAAAAGCGTTTTTGTTAAAGGCTTTGCCTTCGAATGTAAGATGATGTGATTCTAAGCATATTTCTAACCCTGATTTGAGTCAAAATAGTCTAAAAAAAATTTCTAATCGTAGATCCAAACTTATACTAAATCAAGAAAAAAACTTATTTTGAACCAAAATTAAGAAAGACTTAAATCCTATATCAAATTTCAATAATAACTTTTTATCCTATTCAAATTCAAAAGACTTCTTCAATATAACAACTTTTTACCTCTCCCGCCTCTATCTTCAAAACCACTGCCATCATCTCTCTCTTTTTACCCATTTTCTCTCTCATAAGCTTTCACCCTCAAAATTGATCTCTCTCTCATCTAAAAAACTCCACTCAAAGAGGTTGGTATTCCTACGTTTTCTTTTACTTACTATTAGTGAAGTTTGTAAGAAATAAGTTTTAATATTGAATAAAATATTTTGGTAAGAAAAAAAAAGAGCTATGGGACACTAAGGGAATTCTTTAAAATATTTGACTAGATAGTTGAGTTTATTTATTGGAATGTTCGATAACAAATCAAATTTTTTATTCAAATTTAAGACATGATCAGAATACTCTAATCAAATACAAATTATTCACTTTCAAAAAAAAAAAAAATACAACATGATTTATACAATTCTCCGTTATCAGCAAATAACATGTAATTAAAAGGAAAAATTTTAACGACACCTCTTCTAATTTATCATATCTTCAAAGACATCCCCTCTAATTTTTGAATCTTCAATGACACCTTTTCTAGTTTAATTTAAACATCACTAACACCCCTTACTATTAAACTACTTTTTCTAACAAAACAAATCCATCTAAAGTACCAAAAATGCCCCTATATAACCTCAAGTAATTTTTTTACATAAAATTTTATTAAAATTCAAGCTGTTAAAATTTTAAAAAAAAATCATAAATAATAATTTTAGTAAATACTAATTTGTTATTTACTAATTCGTAAATTTTTAAAAAAAACATCGAGCCTATTAAAAAAAATTTTTACATATTAAAATTTGAGCCGATTTGAACTTTACCTAAGTTGTTAGCACCGATTAAAATTCTCTTTCGAGGCAATTAAAATTTATATTCTTTTACTTATTAAAATTCGTGTCAATTAAAATTAGATTTATTAAAATTTAAGTCAATTAAAATTCATATATTTTTATATATTAAAATTTGGGTTGATTAAAATTCAATGCGAATTAATTAAAATTTAATTTGAGTCGATTAAAAATAATTTTTAAATGGCTCCAACAAAATTTTAATTAGCCCAAATTCTAATACGTAAAAAAAATATAGTTTTTAATTGGCACAAATTTTAATATGTAAAAAAATAAATTTTAATTAACTTGAATCGAATTTGAATCCGTTCGAATTTAATTACATAAAAAAAATTAAAAAGCATAGGGAGTCTCATTGAAAATATACTTATCTAAAGGGGGTGTGGATGAAGTTTGTCCTCAAATATATCATGGGCAATTTAGTAAAATGGTATTCTACTTAATATTTTTAATCTGACAGGGGGTGTCATTAAAGATTCAGAAATTAGAAAAGTGTCCCTGAAGATATGATAAACTAGAAGGGGTGTGGTTAAAATAATCCCTAATTAAAATGGAAACTTGAATATAATATAACTAAAATCACATGATATGCTTGGTTCGCTTTCAAGGGGAAATTGATCTCTGGCTTTCTCCTTTTGAATATATATTATTAATAAAAATTATGGAAAATTTGTGGATAGGAATTGCCTTGGGAATCTGCTGGTTAGTCTTTAATGCATACATGTGCTGGTTAGTCTTTAATGCTGTTACAAGTAGAGCAATCCTACCTTGACATTCAACTGTCATTAATCCTTACTGTAAAGGCGTGGGAAAAACCATAAGAATTTCATGAACATCCTATAGAAAAGACTCTCTTTGATGAGAAAATATTAACTATTTATCAGGTAACATGTTATTTTTGAAAATTGGTACTCTTCACTAATCAACAGATGTCATCTCATATTTTGTCATTGGCAAGTACCAGTATGTCATTGACAGCTGGTACTCATCGCCAATCAAGAGATGTTACCTCAATATAGGCTCTTCTTCAATTTTTTTCTCTCCATTGCCTACCTTGAGATGTCATTCATTGATTAATGATGAGTACTAGTTGTTAATAACAGATTGGTACCTGATAANCTTCAATTTTTTTCTCTCCATTGCCTACCTTGAGATGTCATTCATCGATTAGTGATGAGTACTAGTTGTCAATAACAACTTGGTACCTGATAGGTACCGAATATTTTCTCCTCTTTGATCATTTTGAAAAAAAATAATGCATTCACCCTCAATAATTATATATATATCGGGTCATCTATAATATAAAATAAGATAGTTTTTAATAAACTAATTCGACGATCTCAAATAGATTTATCCAACGACTACTAACATCTTTATCAAAATCATTCACACTGAATTTCTCCCCCTTCCTGCTCCCCAAAAATCCATCACTTTTCATTTATCATGTATTCGGACACGGGATACCCTCAATCACTACTATAATGGTTAGTAATCAATTTTTACAACTTTCGAATAATATTTTTATGATAGGTAAAATATACCCGCAACTGTGAAGAGATGTAAGAGGGTCCAATAAAACCGATTTAGAGTGGAACAAGAACAATTAATGTTAGTCTTTACGCAGAATGTTTACGAAAAATCAAAGTTATACAACTAGACTAGTTTGCCCTTACGAAGAAAGTTTTGTGGTACATTAATCACTGGAACTTGAATTTTAATATTTTTAGATGAACTTTGATTTTTTCACTCAGTGGTAATTGAATTTAGTAGCATTAACATTTTGTTTTAAAGTCCAAATTAAACAACTCAAATTCATTAATTAGTTTAAAAATTTTCAGTGAGAGTATATTTTGCGTAGCAATTTCTTATATTGTAGAATGACTTAGATAACCTTTGACGGTGTAGGTTGTCTTTACTCTCCGGGTTGATCCTAGGAACTGTGGGAAAGTACAAAACCTACAATTGAATGTCCAGGCGAATGGGTCAATTCCTACTAATTGCACGGATTGATTACCTATCTTACATGACTTGAATATGGTATTGAAAAATTTTTTTTAGGCATTGTTGCTCTAAATTTTATTATTCTGATTAATATATTTATAATTTTTATAGATTATTTTATAATAAAAATTATTTATAATTTTTGTAATTGATTTTTCACTTTTGTAATACTTGTGATTGATTTTATATCATAAAAATGATAAAAATATTTTGACACCCATAAAAATGATAAATAATAATATGTCACCTTTTTTTTTTTCTCCAGTAATGTAATCTTGTCTTTCGTTTTTGGGTTGTATTTCAAATTTCCTTTAAACCCTCCCCTTGGGATTATATTATATATATTTTTTTTGACTTTTTTTTCATTCATACTTCTTTACTTGTCAAAAAAAAAAAAAAGGGAGAGGAATAGGTTTGGTGCGTACTCCTAACATTTTTAAAATATAATTTATTTCGTCCTAAACAATTATTCATACTTCTCTTTCACTAACTTCATGCAACTGTTTCTATTTTGAACATAAAAATAAATAATCTCTACTAATTATGAAATGTCAATATTACTCTTCAATCTTTCCATATAATCATTCAATTCTTTTAACCACCGAGTGGGGTGGTCAAGCAGGATACTGTTCGAATTTCTCACTTTAAGGTTGAAAGTTTGATCTTGGTCGGTGGTTGACTGTGATGCTAGTCTAACTAGATCTATTTTTGAGAGGAATAACGAGTTTGATTAAGGGTCTCATGATCCCATAATAAAAATATATCAAAATAATTTTTCGATGCTCTATTTTGCCCTCACCCTTTCTTTACACATTCATAACCATTCAATTCTTTTTTTTTTTTTTTTAACCCTATTCAACTTTCGATTGCCCTATTCACACCTTGTAATCGTGAGTGCATCTAGTTTAGATAAAATTCCTTTTAATTGCTTTGTACACAAGTTTTCTACCCTAGCTCTCGTCATATATTGATGGAACCTACAACCTACCTCTTTGGGGATGTTCTTATCTTGGACTAATCTCATTCTGCATCTCTTTCCAATTGCCAGCTGCTAGAGAAGACCCAAAGACGACAGAGCCATGTGCCCCTCAGCAAGGACATATAGGCCTTCTTCATGTTGTATTAAGTGAAGCATGTGGATGTGCTTCAATGGGGACAGCCTCCCCATTGCAGCCTACCAAATACGATTGACTTGTGATCCAAGTACTGTAATCTCATTACTGCTAGCTTCGAAGAACAGACATGTGCACAACATAAATAATGCAATTCAACTAGTTCATTTCTCACATTATGTAGCCACATAGTCG